AAGGCAAGCAACTGGCTATACATAACGAAAACTTGTCTTGAGGCTACTAACTACATTTCCAAACCGGACAAAAGTCAAAATGCTAAGTTCATTCTTAGCTTTGAAAATGCAATTTCCTGGTTTTGTCAGATGAGTTTCAAATCACATGCTTCTAGGAACCATGCAGCATAAACAGGCTGGAAGGCATATACTCAAAAATTTATAGTAGTTTCACAAGTTCTAAGCTACAATTTTATTCCCCATATTAACTGTCAGAGTTAGCACAGAGACAAGTTCACAGATTGCATCTAATCTTTGGTTGCAATTGTTCCACCTGTTATCTAGCCCTCTAAGAAATAAAACAACAACGACAACACTTTGAGGTCTCAATCCACTTTACGAAAAGAAAGCTTTATGAAAAAGCCTGAACAATGAATTCAAACATTAAGGAGAAAATGAGAAACGTTAGGTGTGTGAAGTAGGAAATGTTAATTTCATGCACTTAGGAACACACACTCACACCCCACAGTAGTAGAAGCAGTAGAAGAGGAAAACACTACATGTGTAGGGGTAGAAATATTTGTTACATCATGATGCTGGCTGGCGATGGAGGGTTGCCGCCTTAGAGCCCCCTGAATGGAACTTCCACTCTGGAAAGCATTCACTACATCCATCTGCAAGGAATCAGAGATTGTGACAGCTTGCTCAGCAAGAGAGAGAGAGAACAAGAGAAAGGACCATTCCATCTATCAACATATAAAAAGTAAAGAAAAAGGCACTTTTTACAGAGCAGATAAATAGGCAAGAATAGCATTTTGAGATGAAGTAGGGGGTGGGGGTGCTAGGAAAAAAGGAGCTTAGGGGCATATAGACACATTCTTTCAGAATCAGTTAAAAGTTTCACTCATTCACCAGTACTACTTTTCAAGAGAATACAATATGTGGGCTGGGAAGGCTAGAGAGGAAGTTTAAGGAGCACACTCTAACCTCCTCCCCAGGTCAAAAAGCCCTGGCTCCCATCATCTCTCCTACCTCTCTACCAGACCCATACCTGTGTTTGGATTCTGTTCAGACCTCTAAACCACAAGATTTGGCCACGCCGCAACTCCCTTTCAGCGTGATCAATCTCTTCAACATCCTCTGCTAATTCCTCCTCAGGTATTTCTTCCTTTTGTGTTCCATGACCAGCTTCTTTGAGGAATTTTAAACGGCTAGTTGGAATTGTTGAAATAAGCTACAACACAGGGGAATGAACTTAGAAATACATCATATCAAGGAGAGGTAAGCTAATCAACTGTAATACTAAAGGTATTAAAAGTGGTGAGAGTATCCCGACTATCTTTACCAATGAAGTAATGAGATCCTGGTGATTAGTCTTTCTCTCCCAGAGCAAAATATATTCTTCTCTTAGCTACACAAAAGATTTGAGTTTGAAGGGTAAAAAGTTTTCCTAAATGGAAATTAACCCAATTACATTTTTCACATTTTCATCAGGACATTCAAGACAGTACTCTGTAAAACCATGCTCTGATGTATGTACTTAAACTCCTATTATATTTATTTTGAATGCAATGAAAATGGCAGGTGGTCTTATCAGATGCAAAACAAGTTTACAATCATTAATGCTGTCAGAGTTCAATGAGAAAAAAATGTATAAAAATTTAAAAAATCATCACAGTTACACTGAAGATAGTTTTGTTAAGTAATTTTTCAAAATGCAACAGTTTAAAATTAGATTAGTACTGATTGATGACACCAAACAAAAACAGATGTCCCAGAAAACACAAAGGATATAAAGAAACACCAATACACATGTATTAGCTTATGTGTTAAAATTCATTCTCTAAGGCAGCAGTTGGGTTTATCAGGGAGAACCAAGCATGTAGTCAGCTACAGAATTCTGCTTGGAGAACTTCTAGTCCAAGCACCTCATTTCACCAACGTGAGGTCTCCTGACCACCAAAGACAGTGCTTGTTCTACCATGGTACACTTAAAAATGAGCAGACAGTGTCAACTAGACAATAACTTGAGCCTTGTGGGTATATATGTTGTACTGAATTTCCTCTTCCTTAAACTGGCCAGGTTATCAGAAAACACTATGAAATAATCACAATGATAATCAAAAAGGAAATATGGACCAAGTATGGGTCCTACTTAAAAGATGGTCTCTATTAACAAGGTATTCAAAATGGTTAAGAACCCTCAGGACCTAGAAACATAATTAAGAAAACGAAGAGATAAAAAGATGTAAAGATTGAGCTAAATTTAACAAAAACCTGAAAGTCTGGTTTCACTCATTTGCAGAATGACAATAAATTAGCTCACACAAATTATATGCCATAATTATATTAACCTTCATTTATGAAAATGTTAGTATAAATTTTCTATAACTTAGTCTTATAGTAATAATAATGGGCTTAAAATGAACAATGCATAAATCATTATCACTTATATTTAAAAAATAATAACATGCATTTGCAAGTAAACTGCCTATAGTAAACATGAGGTATATCTCTTATTTCAGGCACTTTATATATACACTGTTAAAACTATTCAATTCAAATCTAAAATGTCATTTTGTGACCCTTTTTCTAAGTAACATTATTCTTATAAAAACATGCTCTTAGTAAAGCTCAGTTTTTCCTATGCTGTATACTGGATTAAATTACAGAACAAAATGATGAAGTACATGTACTTTTTACGTTTTTGTAAAAAACTTTATTCTGAAAATGTAAAAATACGTTATAGAGTAAAAGATAACAGATATTAGTATCCTAACCAGTTATAAGCACATCATTTTTAACAACTGCTAAGAAACTTGTTCTAACACACAAGTTAAGATAGTATTTTATAGTATAGGCATAATTGTAATAAACAAGTGACACAATGGAACTAATCAAACATTAAAAAAACTTAACTTTGAATTCCCTCTCTTTTTACTCACCATGTTAACTATTTAGAATCAAGTAATGAAACTGATTAAAGAAAACAAACATTAGAAATTTAAAAAAAATCACTTTAGGTTTAAACAAAAACTGATGAGATTTTTACCTGGCCCCAGAGTAACGTTCCCATTCCTAGGAATATTGACCATAGCCACTGTTCTATTGAAAGTTCTGAACAACTGAAAGGTTTTCCACCAAACTGCACAATTATTATCTGGAGGAATAATCAAGAGTAAATTTACTTAAATTTAAATATTCACATACTCTAAAAAATACCAAATATATGTCCTCTAAAACGAGGTGAACAACCACTATTCTGATAAAGTGTATTATATTAGTCACAACTGAAAATAAAACAACTGAAATAGACCTTTCCTCTTTCCCCTCCAGGCCACTTTCCCTCTTAAAAAAGACAAATGAAATAAAGTAAAATCCCTGTCCAATATTTTTAATCCATACTTATTTCATGTTTAAATTATGCTTACTAAAAAGTAAAATTCTTATGACCCGCAAGAATAACTTTCCCCTGTATTTACTACAATTCTTCAAATAATTAACTTATGCCTTTCTCAAAATATAGTACTCTTTTGTAGAAAAGACTGTATGTTAATGAAAAAATATGCAATCCTTTTAAAATTCCACATAGCTGTTTATTTCTAGTTAACATTTAGATATGTTAAGATAAATACAGACTGTAAGGGAAGAATGGCAACTTGCAAAGTTCTATGAAATACAAGCTAACTCAGGTGAGATGATCTCAGATTTGCTCTCCTTTGAAGAGAGTGAGGCCTGATGATGAACATAAATTCATAGTACAGTGCTTATCCTCTGCTCGTTATTCTGAAAGACCTAAAAATAGTGTGCATGAAAATATTAAGGGAAGTAACTGGAGTTGGGTATGGTGACTTATACCTGTAATTCTAGCACTTTTGGAGGCTGAGGTGAGAGGATTGCTTGAACCCAGGAGTTCAAAGACCAGCCTAGGCAACATAGCAAGATCCCATCTTAATTAAAAAAAATAAATAAGTAAAAATAAATGATTTTTTAAAAAAGAAATAACAATATTCACCCTCCTGTGATAGAGTCTGATAGGTCCTCCTGTGATAGAGTCTGGTAGGGCTCTCTTTGATATGGCAGTTAAGTAGTTCCCAAATATTAAAATCAAAAATAATTTTGGTAGTTAACATCTTAAAACATTAAAGATACAATTCCACTCTTTTAAGCTCTAGTTTATCCAAATTCAAGTGATTTTTACTTCTCAGTTCCACTATTTTTTGTTAATTTGTATACTTGTAAAGATAGATTTCCAACTGCTTTGTTGGTAGCCCAATTAGATTATAACTGATTTGACAATCAGGCCTGGATCTTAATAGAGATACAAAACTGAAATAATTTTCTTTTATAAATCAAGAAAATAATGAGCATCAAAAGGGTTCAATATTAATTTGTATAAGTGATCGTAATTTTTGTTAAGTTTAAACTTTGTCTTTTTTTGTAAAATTGGGATGTAAAAAGAATATTAAGGTACTGGGGAAACTATTAAGGTACTGGGGAAACAATTAATGTGATTGGCTGATTTTGTTTCCTAAGAAATAACAATCTTTCACTTTAAAGTTGGAAGAAATAAAACAGTTTGTCTAGTTGGTTGTGGCATTTACTTCTAAGAACAAGAGATTCAGTTCCCATATTCTTTAATATATACCTTAAATCACCATGATACTATAGATGTCACCAAGGCAATAGTTCCATACATGTTCCACACAAGTGATTGCTACAACAAGCTGTTTACCTAATGTCTCCCATATAACAGTCACATTTGGAACTCTCTTTTCCAATTACCCACCTGTACCACAAAAGTGCCTAAAACAATCGTGCAGAAGATGGCATTGTTAAAGATTCCTTCAAATACATTTCTTTCACCATGAATTTTCCGGGCATTTATTTCGTTGAAAAGTTGCATCAGCACAAAGGTATTAAAAACAATAGTATAATGTTCTGAAGGAGGAGCATGCAAAGGAGCATTTCTTCCACTATCAATGTCAAAAAACTTTTCTCCTGAAAGAATTAAAAATTACTGTTTTATAATTATCATACCAAATAACAACATATTAAGGAAGTATACAAAATAAAACTTAGCTAGACTTTTCATTTGATCTGAGATGGCAGCATGGAAGGAGCTGGAAGAAACCTGGGATTACCTAGTACAACTCTCTTGTTTTTTAGACAAGGAAACAGAAGCTCCCAAAACTATGGTGATAATCTCAAGATCACACATCTAAGTTAGTGGCAGAGCCAGGATAAGATAACAGACTTTTTATTATCCCCCTACTATCTATCTTATTGTCTCCCCAAATTTACTAAGCACTGACTGGTAAAGAAGAAGAAATTAAGGATAAATGGGAAATCAGGAACAGAACTTACACTTTTGAAAATTTTTAACATTATAACATCTTGGATGATTAGCTTGGAAAAGAAACAATTTACTGAAGCTTTATGTATTAGACACCGAATTCTTACCAGCAAATAAGAGTGTAAAGACTACTACAAGTTGATAGAATGCATGACCCAAAATATTCTTCATCATTGTTCGTGAGATGAGAGGCTTATTTCTACCATAAGGTTTCCGAAGCAAGAGAGACTCGGTGGGTGGTTCCGTTGCCAGAGCCAGGGAAGCGAGCGTATCCATTATGAGGTTTACCCACAGCATCTGCACAGCCTTAAGCGGAGAGTCCTAGAAAAGATAGGTTTCCTAATAGACATTCACAACTACTCAGGGACTCAGCAATTCTCAGGAAGCCTTTAGGATTTAAAAACTTGAGAAACAGAACAGGATAATATTTTTATATAAACTAACCTAAAATATTAAGCTTTAGCTTAAATATTAAGCATTTTAAAAAGGCATTTTACATACTTTTTAAAATTTAAAGTAAACAAGTTTTAATAGACAAATCATCACCTACTTGAGTAATACAGGCGCCCGTAAAAGCAACAATCACTGCTACTACATTAACAGTAAGTTGGAACTGAAGGAATTTTGAGATGCTGTCATAGACATTTCGTCCCCACATAACTGCTTTAACAATGCTTGTAAAGTTGTCATCTGTGAGAATAATATCAGATGCTTCTTTAGCTACATCAGTTCCAGCAATACCCTGTTAAAAAAATTTTTGTGAATTAGTCTAAATGTTTTAAGTATAAATTTCAAAGAGTGAAAAAATACACAATTAATAAAGTTTACCACTATACTTAAATTATATTGACTTAAATTTATGCTAAAAAAAGGTAACAGCATTCTTCTAAGATATTACTAGGAAAGACATTCTGGTTTAGCAGAAATCAAAGAATGAAGCATTAAAAATAAGGTTCAAGTTGGATTAAAAATGGAGGAATGAACAAAGACATGACCCCAGTTCCTTCCAAAAGCCACACAGAAAGGTATATGTTAATAAAAAGCAAACAAACTTTATGAAGACAAAGTTAGAGGAAAAGGAGATTCTAACAAAAAAATAAAAACACCACAAAACCTTAGAGGCTAGAAAGCAGATAGCTAAACAGTAAGTAACTCAGTAAACACAAGAAAGCTGAATCCTAATCCAATGATAGAGAGAGTAGAAGTAGCCCCCTTTTCCCCCACAACAGAATCCTCCTATACAGCTCTGGACTTGGCAGTTGTAGGTGGCACTGGAAGTAGGGGTGAAGTTAAGAACAAAAGGAAGATCTCTTGAAAGTCTACTGAAGATGCATTTAGAAGCTCCAAACTAATAACAATGTCATCAATAGGAGAATGGAATAGATTAATAAATTGTGGATTAATAAAATGAGTGAACTAACTATATTCAACATAAATGATCTCACAAACATAATGCTGAATAAAGAAGATGAACTCAACATATAATGTATGATTCTTCCGTACAAAGTTCAAAAACAGGCAAAAATAATAATCTTCAGGATACTGGTTATCTTTGCAGAAAGATAAGGCAGTAATTAGAAGGGAGTAGGATTCACTAAAAAATTATGAAAAGCTTAACCTCATGAACCCTGCTATGGGCTGAAAGTGTTCCCCAAATTCATGTGTTGGAAATGTAATCTTTAATCATCAACGTGGAGACATGGAAACTCAGAGGTGATTTCATGATTTCTGCCCTCATGCATGGATTAATGTCATTATGTTGGGAGTGGCTTCATTATCGAGAGTGAATTCGTTATAAAGGTGAGTTTGACCAATCCCCTCTTGCTTTTGTGCTCACTTATGGTGCTCTTTCCCTTCTCCTATGACAAAATGCAGCATGAAGCCTTCACAAGATGCTGGTACCCTGCTCTTGCATTTACTCACCTCCAGAACCTCAAGTCAAAGAAACTTCTATTGTTTATGAATTACTAAGTCTTAGATATTCTGTTACAGCAATACAAAATGGACTAAGACAAACCCTTTCTCAGGAAGTAGCTGAAGGAGATGACTCCACCAAATAAGGGAGTAAACCAAAGAAGATGATACCACCAAATTCACAAAGTACAAGATCCAACATAAAGGAGAGAGAAAGAAAATCCTCAGGTATGGGGACCAAAAAGACAGCTGTGCAGCAAGGCTAGCAAAGAGCAAGTGCAGATTAAGGCACGTTGAAAGATGCTGAGAGAGGTCTCTCTTAGAAACTGAAGCTGGTAAGAGTGCTAAAGGTCTCTGATGTATGGAACAGAGAACTTGGGGATGAATTTGTGCTAAGTACATACAAAAATTAAGCCAAAAAACTCCAAACAAACAAAATAAAAACTAAAAGCAAGCAAGCAAAGGACAACAAATTATAGGGAATGTAAAATGTTGTGTAAGGAAGGAAAAGTAATTACAGTTGACCACATAGGTTGAAACAGCATTTACAGTCACAGTAAAGACTGAATATTGATCGAACCTAAATTATGATATAATTCTACAGGCAATGATGAAAGGTATATGGGGTGAATGTGGTGAGGATACCTGTGTCTATGTGCCTGTGAAAGAACTAAGTCCTCATTTTCATTAATGAAAGTCAGTAGTTAATGCCTTATATTAAAAAAATCAAAAAGTACCAGATTCATGTGATTTAGAGATATAAAGGCACATAACTAAAGAAAAGCAGCAGCTAAAACAGTTTCCTTTGGGAGCCAAAAATTTGGTATGTGGTAGGGGACTTGGTATTAAGTCTTACAGAACTACTTGACCTTTTAAATGCTATGCATACATTATTTTGATAAACATGAAGTTCAAATAAAACCTTTCTCAAAATATTCAGTGAAGGAACAATCTTATTTTAGAATCTTAGTCTCCAGTTCCCAAAGTGAATATTTTACTTTTGATGTCCCACATTTTTTTTTTTTTTTAATTTTGAGATAGAGTCTTGCTTTGTCACCCAGGCTGGAGTGCAGTGGTGTGATCTCAGTTCACTGCCACCTCTGCCTCCTGGGTTCAAGCGATTCTCCTGCCTCAGCCTCCTGAGTGTCTGGAATTACAGGTGTACACCACCATGCCCAGCTGTTTTGTATTTTTAGGAGAGACAGGGTTTACCGTGTTGTCCAGGCTCAAGAGATCCACTCCTGTTCTCAAGAGATCCACCCGCCTTGGTCTTTCAAAATGATGGGGTTACCAAAATGATGGGGTTACAGGCATGAGCCACTGTGCCCAGCCAATGCCCCACATATTTAACACACTTTAGCTCAATGGGATTTCTCGATTCTCATCATACCCATATTATATGAATGCAAATCTCACCATTCCCTTGCTCAAAATCCTTAACATTTCTAAAAGTAACTCTACAGTGTTAATGGGTATTCAAATAAAAACTAGTTCCATGATGAAACAGGTCTGGAAAACTTTGAATCACAAGAAGTTAAACTGCTTTTTAAAAATGAGCTTCTAGGAGTAATATGATACCGCATAGTATCTCTAAACTTATTTTACTCATTCAGAAGTAGGCTTGGCAAATGTTAATCTACAGGATAAGGGAAAAAAATTCCTTATCTTGGCATTCAAGGCCTTTTTCATGTGCCTCCCTCTGAATCCTTCTAGCTTCATATCTCATTACAGCACCACAATCTTTTCTAGTTAGGTTGAATAACTTGTACATAATTCGCTGATGAAAGAGGGCCTCTTGGTTCCCGGTTCCGCTCCTTCCCTCAGCTAAAATGGCACCTCTTCCAGAAAACCTTTCCCAGTCTCTACAGGTAGAGTCAAGGACTTCTTCCTGAGATACTTGTCACTATCCTGTGATTATTTCCATGTGCTGTGAATCTTTAGGAGGCAGCAACTCTTCACTTCTAATGTTTCTGGACTGGAATACTGAAGATAGCCTCTTAATATTTGGAGTCCCGCATTAATCCAAAGAAAGTTTAAAATAAAGTATTTTAATTGCCTTAGGTTTTACTACCATAAATGTATTTGATTATTGGATTATACCACGACATTCAGTCTTTGATGATAGCAGTATCTCTATAGATGGTTAACTAATTTTTGGTAAGAATACTATCATGTGACAAGGATTCTCTCCTTTAATCAAAACTTGCTATGTAAATAACTGTTATACTGTATTGTTTAGGAAATCATGACAAGAAAAAAAAGTCTGTATATGTTCACTACAGATGCAACCATCCATATTTTTGTCCTCAATATTTTCGATCCAGTTGGTTGATTCCATGATGCAGAATCTATGGATACAAAGGGCTGAATGTACAAGCAGAACATGCACTTTATCTATAGATCAACAAATCAAGAAAATATGCTCTAAAATGCTATAACTGCCTGAAAAATAAGAAATACATTTAGAAAGAACTAATCAATAGCAATTTCTTGTAATTAAAAAAACCTCTAATATGTTTGT